CCTCTGCACTCTTATCTGTTCCCTACAGTCTCATTCCAAGTTACATCTCTCAGTTTTTCTCTTTCTCTGTCTTTGTCTCTCTCTCCCTCCCTCCCTCCCTCCCCCTTCTTTCTGCTAGTGGATTTGTTTACTCACGCTTTCTAGGTTCTGCTCTAGCTTGTTTGCTGCCCGTTTTCCTTTCTTCTGTTATTTTTCTAATTTTTAACTTCTTGAAGAGCTTCATTTGCTCTTTGCAGGCCCATTTAATAAAAAGAGGCTTCTGTGTGTAAAGCACAGTGCTAGATACTGGGAGGACAGAACAGGCTAAAATAATGTGTGCGTCCTTCCTTCATGGAGGGAGGAGAGCAGGTCAGGACATTAGGCACCAATGGGTATCACACTACTTGACCATCAGTATATAGTTCAGACTAGAATGGAGGAAGAGTGTAAAAGATTGAGGATTGGATATGCAAGGTCAGAAATAGGAAAGCTGTTTCTAACTTAGAGAGAACCTCATTCAGTGAGGATGAATGCTTCCAGTTCCTTGTTTTGCTTAATAGCATTTTATTTGAATTTCTGCTACTCTTTCCATATAAAAATCATTTTCCAAGGTCTGTTCAGTTTTTTTCCTGTTTCTGCATGCTTGCTTTTTGGGACCAAATTCTAGTTGAAGCATTTTCATCCTGATGGGAAGGCAGTTTTTTTCCTAACCATAATTTTGAACACATTTTTAGCTTCTTAAATAATTGTATCAGGAAACTATGTTATCACAAAGATTAATTTATTTGGAGGAAATACATAGAAACGTATCTGTGCAAGCATCATTGTGAGGCATCAGCTTGATCACTGAGCACCGATAACTACGTGTTTTTAAAATTCCCTTCTGTGTGCTGTTTTTGGAGCCTAGTCAAGGACCTCACTCAAATCCTATATGTTAAATACATTAATGACTTCATCCCCTTCTGAATTTTATAAATTGTTACTCCCTCAATATTCTGGTTTCATTTTCCTGGATTTTTATTACTTGAATATTAATTTTAATTGTTAATAGGATTCCTCTGAGACCATGCTTTTTGAGGACCAGGATTCTTTGTTTGTTTGTTTGTTTGTTTGTTTGTTTTTAATATTCTCACTGCCTATCCCAGTCCCTGACACATAGTAGGTGCTTAATTAATGTTTGTTAATGGATTCCTAATTCAATATTTTCTTTATTCTTATTAGGCCAAATATGTTGAAGTTGGTCAAGTATCTGGTGAAACATCAGTTCATGTCACAGGTTTAAAACATGTCTAGGTCCTTGAACCTTTGTGTTTAATTGTGCGACTTGGAGCTAAGACTGCCCAGATTGAAACTGAGCACCTTCTTGATCATCACCTTCAGCATTTCTTAAACTGTGGGTTGTGAGCCCATGGGGTCATGAAAAATTTAGCAACAGCAAAAGGTTTCTGAATGCACAACAGCCAAAAATTAATTAGAAATCAAATGCGTAATGAATCCGAGGTGTTTCTGGCAGCACTTGCTGGTGTTGCCTCTCACCACTTCACTGCAGCCTTGGTTCTGAACACACAGCATGTGCACTTTGCACAGCGCACGCCCTTAGGCCACGCAACGCCAACCAACAGATGCCAAAATGTGAAAAGGGGTCCAGACCTAAATGAATAATGTCATTCAGAGCCTCATCCGGAAGTTCCACTGTGAATAGTCACACCCTATGAGGTAGTTTTCTAGTGGCATAGGCTTATATTTGACTTTCTAGTCACTTCATTGTGAATGACCCTCAGTAGTTTTGATGCTATAACTTCTGGAATCAATGCCTTTTGGTCACCAGAGGCCTAGCTACTGCCAAAGAAGCTCTGCTGTCACTTTGGGAGTCCACAAAAAAAGATTGATTTCCAAGGTTTAAGAGCAAGGCACTGGTAGGGGGGAGAACTAAATGGAAGAGGGGGAACACTTTGCAAAGTCTTACGCTGACGCCCCAACTTGAAACTCACACCACTTGTTTCTGCCTGTTTTATATGCTACTTTTTTCTGTAGCCATCTGAGCTAAAGGAAAGGGAAAGACATTGGTCAAAGAAGGCAATTCAGAAAGAGAAAAAAAGAAACAATTCAGAAACAATTCAGAAGAAAACAAAAGCCACAAGCCTTTCATCCAACACCATATCAAAAAGTAAAAGAACATACAAAATGTGTGAAGTGGTGGCTGAATAAAGTCAACAGCCCCTGGTGATAGAGCCTTCCAGCATCTGGCAGATCTTCTCATTTGTTAGCTCAGGATTTGTACAGATGTTGTGAACTTGATAGTTGTTGTATCAACAGTGTCTTCTTTCTTTTTCATGGAACAAAAACCAAAAGCCTTTGGTTTCCTAAATTGTATAAGAATCCTTTCTAGCGGAAGATTTGTTGGTTATATTCCATAGGAGGTATTTGTAGGATTTCCCCTCCTGCCCCTCTCCCCCTAAAAAAACCCAAAAAAATCCAAAGCCCTGTGCCTGTTTGATTGAGTAAGTATTTTTACAAGACAAGGGCTTCAGTTCAGTGAAACATGAACAGAAAAGAGAAGAAAGAGCAAAACATTTTAAAAGTTTACTAAAACAGGTAATGTAGTGTAGCTTAAATATGAAAAGATAGTTAATGGGTCAAAAATTATTTTATTGCTTGCCATCATGGCCCTGACTTAACCATAGTGGGCTGTGTACAGCACCCCATTATGCTATTTCTTTAGGCAAATACAAATTGAATTCCTTTCTCTATCAGTCTTCTCTGTTAGTGGTCTTGCTTTTAACGCCCTTACGCCCAGTAGATATTGCTTATTTGGCTTATTTTCGAAAGATTTAAGATAGTTTAATTTATACTAGTATATTTCAAATATGGTTACATTAAAAATAATTGCTCACATTTTATGTGGAGCAAAGTAAAAGTGCATTTCCAATCAAATAATTCTGGCCCCAAACTGTGGAGCTGTGACAAATGTAAATTTATATTTCCATAATAAAAAGCTATAGCAAACACACAGTCATTTACATATGGTTCCTGAAATATTGCATACTGGCTTTGTCAGTGCTGGTAAGTCCATTTCAAGGATGTCACCCTTAGTCCATTAGTTTGGATAATGAGCCCTATAAAGTACATTTATAACTTGTGGCATTGCAACGGGATGGATTCTAATTTTCATCCTTTTATCTAGACACATTGAAAGAAGGTCAATGGAGGGTTCTATATGATTCATTGTCCCAACACATTGCAGATGACAGAGACCTGATAATGTCAGTGCAGAAGTGTTTTCCTTATTTGGAAAGAGCACTTGAAAGAAATCTTCTTATGTTCATCCTTTGAAGTAAAGTGGAGACAGATATTAAAAGAAGCGCTCTTCTTTTTTCCCTCGATGCAAACATGATCAAGTATATGACCAGATAGCTCTTCTTGAACAAAAGCGAAAGTAGCACTTAACAGAAGAATAAACAGCCCTTAGTGGCTTTTATTGCCTTTGCTTGTTATAACTTGACATTTAATCAACTTTTTCCCCCAAAGCCTATTTGCTAAACAATAGAAAAGATTATAATTATGTTATCAAGTGCCCCAATTTTGCTGCTTATTTGAGTATTCAAAATTGTTTGAGTAGGGTTTGGCTCTTATTTTATAAGAAGACTTTATACAAAGCAAAATGGGACAGCATTGTACAATTGAGTGTGGGTCCCATATTGGAAAATAGAAATTACCTGTAATTTTCTGTTTAATTGTCAACAGATAATTTCTTTTTATTGATGCTTGAACAAATGTTAAAGAGAAATTTGCAAAGCCCATGTGAATCATTTCCTCTAGAAAAATGACATGCATGTTTGTGTGCATGTGTGTGTTTATACGCATGCAGAATACAGGTTGTACCTATAATTTTTTCATGTGAGGAGCTGCCACCATAGGAAGTTATTCTACCTGTCACATTGACTTAGATAAAAAGTTAAGTGATCTGCATGATTCATACCTCCAGCAAATAGCAGAGGCAGATTTTGAATTTAGCTATTAGCAACTCCCTGATTCTTATTCAATCCAATCAACATTTATTAGGTGCCAGGCATTGTACTGAGTGTTAAGGATACAATCAATAAAAAGAAAGAAAGTCCCTGTCCTCAAGGAATTTACAGTCTGATGCAAGGTCAGAGGGAGAGACAACACATAAAAGGAGGCAGGAAGGCATTGGGGGGAAACGCCGGGGATTACCCTGTGTAGGGACATCTTGTTCTGTGGAGTTGAAACCAGGCAGAGCAGCAGGTGCAGAGTAGAGTGAGCCGAAAGGACCAGGAGATATTTAGATAAATAAAATATTTCATTACGGTTTAGGGACATTTATTCAGGTGCTATGGTCTAGAGAATCAAGAATAAAAAAATTCCAGGAGCAGTGGAAATATTAAACTCAGTACATATAATTGGGTCATGCTGATATAATATAAATGATAATACCAATTAAATTAATTTATGGTTTTAGTCTTACGCCACTTATACTACCAAAGGAGTATTTTACAGGTGATATGAAAACAAAATAGAACAATACAGTGGCCACTGGCGGGCTCTACAATGAGGAGAGCGCTGGACTTGGGGTCTGAAAGACCTGAATTCAGATGAGGCCTCTGACACTTCATGTCACTGTGACCCCGCGCAAGTCACTTCACTTCTGCCTCATTTTCCTCACCTGTGAAACGAGGATCACAATAGCACCTCCCTCACAGGGCTGTGAGGATCAGGAGAGATAATATTTGTAAAAAAGTGCTTAAGCACATTGTCTGACACATAGTAGGTGCTAGATAAATGCTTATTCCCTTACCCCAGTACAGTTTATTATAAATAAAATAGCTTGTCTGCACCTGAATGAAATGATTTTAGTGATTTTTTTAACCTTTTAAAAACAGATTCGTGTCACTTGGGGCAGGAGATGAGTAATCTTGCAAATTGATTTGTAACATAGAATCAATATCTAAATAGATTTGTTGTAAATTCCATATCTTTGTTCTCCTTTTCTTTATATATAGATGTAAGGCAATCATAGATCACTTTGGTCAGAGGATAAGTGCTAAGTATTTTATCGTCGAAGACAGTTACCTTACCGAGAAAACATGTTCAGATGTGGCCTACAGGTAAGGGCTTCCTTATTCCACAAGCTCAGGTGGGTGAAAGCTCAGTTCTGTGTTTATAGGCACCTTTTAATGTCGTCTAGGGTAGCCTGTTGTTGGCATCGAATGTGTGAACACATGCAGAACAATGTACGCCAGGTGCCAAGCTCTGGCTGTTCTTAATTTAATTCCTTCCTCGAATTAGTGTCATTTCATACATTGTTTATGAGCTAACGCATAACCTAAGCAGAGCCGACCTTCTGTAGGGGTTCTTCAACTTGAGCCTTTGCTTTGCAAACTGCATGCCCTGAGTCACAAGAGAGGTCTTTGTTGCTCTATTTTGAGTCTATAAATGTATCAACTATTGATTGTCAATCTTCAACTTCTTGGTTTGTCAAATTACAGGCAGATGTCGAGGGCAGTGCTGATTACAGATCGATCTGTACTGAAGGCAGAGTCTGATCAGCAGGTAACTTCAGTTGTGCACTCTTTTCTGACTTGTTGCTAATTTACTGCAGTTGTATAGGACGCTGTTAGTGAAACAGTTTATTAAGCCTTGTGTACTTGCCCAATCTTTTTTCTGATGTTTGCATTTTAACTCAAGGCAGTAATTGATATGAGGGTTTTGGATGCTTGAGAGAATGGAAGATAGATATATAGAATGATGTCTTCCTTATAGAATAATGGCATTCCAAGAGAGTTGTATTTCAAAGTGAATTTTATCTTTCTTCCACATTTCATCATCTTTAACTCTCACCTGTATGTTTTCTAATGTGATCCTTGCAACTCCATGAGGTAAGTCCTGCATGTATTATCCACACAATAGATGAGGAAACGGTGGTTCAGAAGAAGGTAAGGTGACTTGCCCTTGGTCCAGAAGAGTTCTACTCTAGTTCTCTCCTGACTCTCAATCCAAGCCTTTTTAAAAAATAATAATAATTGTAAAAATAATTTTAAAATTTATATTAAAAAAATAAAAGTTGAGCATTTGTTTTCTCTCATTCCTGCCTCCTGAAAAATAAAAATAAAAACTTAACTCTTGGAACAAACTACATAGTCAAGCAAAACAATTTTTCCACCATACCATGTTGTCATGAGGGCTACATTGACTTGGGGGAAAATATCCCAACAAATTGAATTGAAAACTGAGATTTCCAGCCTCATGGCATTACTAATGACATCACGCCCGTTCTGAGAGTTTTTCCACCCTTTCCTCCTTTTGAGATCTCTCCCCAACTTTTTCTCTTTACACCATCCCATTTTCATAGGTGTTTTTCCCATACCAGTTGATTGCCTGACTACGCTGATATTCCAGGAATTTGTTTCCCTCCTACTCTTATTGGTATTTATGGTGACTTATAGATCTGTGCTGTAGTATCCTAGTTTTTCAAAAGGCACTGCTGTCAAACATGATTTGCTTCTGACAACTCATTAAGTTTGGAGTAACCTGTTATAAAAAATGAATTAATTCTTCCTCCTTATCAATTCTGTTTAGTTCATGGTAGATCAGTCTTTATGAAATTAAGGGATATTTGTGCGGAAATGCTACTACAAGGCTGATTGCCTAAGATGACTAGGTTGGCACATCTGTTAAGATATCTTTCAGAGGAGAATGGTGTTTTAATAATTCATCATTCTATAATTATTTTGCAGTATATAAGTATTACAGTATTTTAAGTGTTATACTATCCAAATCAATTACAGACCAGTTGCCATTCTGCAATGGTGTGCTCACCAGGAGGTGCTTATCCCAGGTTAATGCCAGATCCAGACCCCACCCAGTCCCCTTAAAAAGCCAAATGTATATCTTTGTTTTCATGTTGAAGCCACCTTTTTTATTGTGAATGATAATGAAGGAAATGAGAAGGAATGTGAGAAATATAGCTTTTGAGCCCACCATTATGCAAGCAGTCAACCTAATACAGTCAAATTCCCAAAATAAATAATTTCCATATTTATTCTTGTAGTGATGCTTGAAATATAAACACAACATTATGGATTCAGGCTACAGATGAGGGCTTTGCTGTATCCCAATAGGGATATAGGCTGCTGAAAATAACTATTATTTTTAGGGATTGATAACCATATTCTTAGGATGCTCTAGTCTACAGGGAAACCATGATGTGATGGCCATTTCATGCTTATTGGCAAATTAAAGGAAGAGAAGATCTTAGTAGTACCTAGCATAGTGTGATGTCTAACAGGGAATACTCTTTAATTATTTGAACTCTGAATTTCTAATCTCCAGGGCCTTATCTGAGTCTACTTCACTAACGTATTCCTTCGGTTAATTTTTCAAGACATTTGTCTTAAAATGTTTGAGCATATATTTAGTCATTTAAAGTTACTACCATCTAACATGTAAATAGATTTAAGGTTGGCAGCTTTTCTGTGTTTGTATTCAAAATGATTTTTTTTTTAAAGACATGACTTTAAAAGCAAGTCTGTGTACATTCTGGAATCGATGACATACTAATAGCACCTTTTTATCCTAAATAGAAAGTATTATTTAAAGACCTTACATATGATCATATGTGTCTAAAATGCTTTTCCTTGCTCATAGTCGTACAAGTAGATAGGTTATCACGATATTTGAAATAGTCTTTTAACAAACATTGAGCAACTACTCGTGCAGAACACAGTGCTCATCACTGGGGAGATAAAATTGAAATTTACAATACAAGCAAATATAATTCACAATATTACTTAACAAATGCATTTGTAGTGCAAAGTAGTATTATGTGAGATCCACTGGGGAAGGTTGTTACCAACCGGCAGGATGAGGAACAGATTTATGGAGGAGGCGGCATTTGAGTTGAACGTTAATAGATAGCGAAGAAATTCAGTAGGTAAAATATGGGGAGGGAATTTCAGGCACAGGGGAGCCACATGAGCAAGCCACAGAGATAAGAGAATGTTAGGGCACAGAAAGTAGCCCAGTTTGGCTGAAGTGTAGAACGCATGAGCAAAGGCATGCTGGTAGTATATTGTGGAGAGCTCTGAATGCTTTGAAATTTACTCAGTTCATTGCAGACAACATGGTGTCATGGAGAAAGACCTTCTTTTGGAGCCAGGAAGACCTGGGTTCAGACTCTACCTTTGGTAGATACTGGCTGTGTGACCCTAGGCAAGTCATTTAATGCCTTAGTGCTGGAGGTTCCTCCTCTATAAATTCCTGGACCAATAAAATCCCTAATTGCATAGAAAGGAGCATTCTTGCACTTATCTCTGTGTTCTAAATTTGGTTTCCAAATTAAAATCTTCTCTGTCAGAGAATTAAATGGTAATGAGTGTTGAAGATCCTCTGTTGGGCAGATACTGGCAGGAATGCAATCGAAATCTAATCGCTTCTCTTCCTCTGTGTCTTCTTTGGAGATTTCCATTTTGACAGTGCCACCAGTGGAGCCAGGATCAGCTGCTGTCCGGGTCATTGAGTTGTGCTCTTCCACCATGACATGCATGAAAGGAACATGTAAGCACAGTAGAAGGTTTATCTTCTGTATTTCTTTGGAGAATAAAGGGGATGGTGAGGGGGAGAGGGCCTGATTTCCAAGTAGATCACATGGCTAATATCAGTCTCTTGTAGGGATTGACTCATGTTTTCCTGCATTGTATTTCCATTGGTCCCTAGAGAAGATGAGCCATGTCATTGTTTGTTTTTAAATATTGTGGTCTGGCCATACATATATATTCACGTATAGCAGTATCTGTACTCTCAAGTCCTAGTTGAGTTCTACAGTGAAAGAATAACATGATTTCCTATAATCTCCTTAGTTTCGTTTTCGCAAAATTAAGTTGCTTAATTGCTGATTTTCTTTTTTTCCTTAGAATCTCAGCTTCTCGCAGTTCCTGATTTCCTTTTATTGGTGCTCCCCCCTTACTGTTGATGAGAATTAAATTAAGAACACCTTTTTTCCCTGTTTCTCTACTTTTGTTTCTCAGAGTTGCCCCTATGGCCCACTCTAAGCATTTATCAGCTCTTCTGTGGCTTTTCCATTGCTTTACTAGCAGACAGTTGCATCATCAAAATAATCTCATATTTATTAAGCACTTACCCTATGCTCTACTCTGGATGTACCAAGCATTTGTGGAGGATGCAAAAGAGAAGTGCGATACGGTGGAAAAAGCTGGATTTGGAATCAGAGCACCTGAGCTAAGATTCTGATTGTGTCATTTCCTACCTGTGTGAACTTGGGCAAATCATTCGACCTCCCTGGTCCTCAGTTTCCCTCTCTAAAGTGAAGGGGCTAGACTAAACCTTTAAGTTCTCTTCCAGCTTTGTCTGTGGACCTATGCGGGAAAATGTGTCTCCTGTTTTTGAGGTGTTTACTATCTTGTTGAGAATAAAGGGCTTCACCACATTAACAAGCTAAAGACTAATACACGACAGTGTCCAGAGTTCAGACCTTTTTATTCCCATGTTAACTTACTTCGTGTGGTAGAAACTGTAAATTCAAGGCATTATGTTTAGTTGTCAGGATAGAGAAAGGTATGATCTACTCTTGACTTAGGCCTTTGCCATTCCCTTCTTCTGCGTTTGTGTTTTCAGCTTCTTTGGCACCATAGCAGCTCTTTATGGTGGGATTCTGCTTTTGGTTGCTTATTCTCCCAGCCTACTTTTTGATTTTGGACTTTATGTCGGTACTGGGCTCTTTGTACTTCTTGGGGGGAGGGGGGAGCTTTCTAACCCAAACTTCTGTCCTTTTATATCTTTCTGCTGCTTCACAGCTCAGTCTGACAACTGGCAAGTTTCCATTGCTCCCACATTGGTGTGATCTGAGGGCAGAGGTCTGTTCCCTGCCCTCCTGGTCTGATCTCAGCAGGTTCCTGATCCAAGTTTGGGTGTTTTGGCTTCGTGTAGCTGAGAGTTTCGGTGGAATGATACCAGACTCAGTCATTGTTACCCTGCTTGAAGGTTCTGAAGGTTCACAGCTACTAAACTGCTGCCTCTCCTTTGGTCTGGGCCTCTTGCCCTGTTTATATAAGCTTAGACACTGTGCTAAAGGCTAGAACTGAGTCACTGCTGTTCTGGAACTTGTTTCTTGCTCAGGCCATGCCTGGGATGGCCCCATGCTCCCTCACAACTCCTCCTCTCTGCTCAGATGGTATCTGTTCTTGTGCCTAGCACGAGGTCAGGGATCTCTTGGGATTTTCTCCTGCTCTGGTGGTTCCTGTCCTGGTGTTCTATGTCAGCCCTCTTTCTAGCCCTGGGGGCTAGAATGCTTCCTTATCTGCACTGCTGGCCAGTTCTCTTTCCCCAGTGTCTGCAGACCTGTTTGTCTGTCTCCCTAAGCTTCCACAGGATGGAAAAATGACTCACTGTGACTTTTTTCTTGCTTTCCAGATCAAAATTCAGTCTAGTGCATTTTGTGTTTTCTTGTGGAAGAGGTGTGCTTGAGGAGCTAGGCAAAAAGGCTTCCTCTTACTTTGCCATCTTGACTCCATTTCTCCTAGTTGCTTTTCTTTTGTGGCGATGACGTAGAACCATTGCTTTAGCCATAAAGTTACAAGATTTATTCCCATTATAGTAGCTTTTATATAGAAAACTGTAGCTTGAAAATCCTTTGACAATATTTCTGCATTAAATCTTTTGAAAACAAGGGGGGCACTAGGTGGCTCAGTGGGTAGAGCACTGGCCCTGAAGTCAGGAGGTCCTGAGTTCAAATCCAGCCTCAGACCAAACACTTGACACTTACTAGCTGTGTGACCCTGAGCAAGTCACTTTACCCCAATTGCCTATTTGAAAAAAAATAAATCTTTTGAAAATAAAAATTCACTTCAGCAAGCATTAGGTATCTACTCTGTGTAAATCACCTATACCAGGTACATGCCAAGATAATAATGGCATGATCCCTGTCCTCCAGGAGCTAAAGTTGGAATGATGGAAAAAAAAATTTAGTCACTAAACATTTATTAAGTGCTTGCTATGTCCCTGGCACTGTGCCAACCTCTGGGGATAAAAAGAAAGGCAGAAGAAACACTGCTCCTGTCCTCGAGCTCACTTTCTAATGGGAAAGACAACCTGCAAATAACAAGATACCTCCAATAGAAGCTAGTCTCTGGAGGAAGCTGTTGCAATAGTGGGAGGAGATCGAATGAAGAGACTGAGAAAGGAGAAATGTAGATGAAGTGCTCTAGGAAAATTAAGGAAGATGAAGAGGAGATGCTCAGCTAGGGAGAACTGGGAGTACATTCCAGGCACAGATCCCAGCCTACGCAGAGGCACAGGGGCGAAAGATGCAATGTTGGTTTCAGGGGACAGCCAGCAGTCTACTTTGCCCAGAATGTAGTACTGTGAAGAGGAATAATGTAAAATAAGACAGGTTAGGTTGCTAGGTTTGGGAGGGTCTTAAATACCAGGCTAAGGAATTTGTATCTTATCTTAGAGGCAATAAGGAGCCACTGAAGATTGATGAGCAGGGGTGTAATGTAGTCAGACCTGTGCATAATCTTGCAGCTGCATGAAGCACTGATTGGCTAGAGGAGACACTAGAAGTAAAGAAACTGGTGAGAAGGTTATTGTAGTAATAGTAGTACAGGTAAGAGGTGATGAGCTTAAGGTAATGACCATAGTGAACTGCTTCTCAGCTCCCCTTTTTATGTTTTTATTTTTTCAAGGACAAAAAGTTAGTGAATTTTCCCATTTTCCAGTTGACGTTTTCTGGCTGTCCTCTTGCTAGATTTAGAAATGGAAGGCCTGTGCTATAGGAACTTTCTGTCTAGCTACACTTGTGACAGCTGCCAGCTGATAACCTGTGGTGCTCTATGTTGGGTTCCACAAGCTTATGGGAAGTTTTACCCTGAGGAAAAAACATATAATGTAGATCAAGCTTTAAAGAAACTTACCTGTGATTACTTTTGTCACTAACTCACTTTGATTAGTGAGTTCTTAACTAAAGCTTTTCTTTCCTCCCAGATGCTCTCCAGACTCCTGGCAAGCTCGGCCTTTGCTCCTGCTGCTTGACTTTATTGCAAGTCAGAAATGGCATGGCCTCGTCACACTACTGCTTTTCCCTTAGTAATTAGCTAGTCTCTCTCCTGAAATAGAACTCTCTTGCTAATCTTAGGGAAGGCCCCCAAACCACCTTTTGTCTCCATTTAGGTTCTTCTCTCTTGATCTTTCTTCTTTGGCATCAGAAACAGAAAAAGTTGGCAGAAAGATCACACTATGTCATCCTTGTGGTCTGCAGTCCTGCTGCTAGGCCACTCTGTGTTCCTTTGAAGCTTTCAGTTTGTATAGAAGCTATTTTACAGAGAATGCTAAAGATTACACTTTAATTAGTCATTCCAAAATGTTTTTTAAAGAGACTTTTCCTTTTTTCTTGAACTTTTTAAAAATCAATTCATTTCATGCAATTCAGCAAGCATGTAGTAAGTACCCACTGTGGCGCTAATGGCACTGTGGATACAATTGGCAAAACTTGGATGTATGATTAGGGTTTGGTGCATTGATGACCTGCTGAGCAGATTTGCAGATTACAAACTGATGGAAGGCAGAGCTAACACTGGGTGATAGAGTCAGGAATCAAAGAGAGCTTATCATGCTGTAACCTTGGACAGGATCAAAGAAGGTGAAATTCAATATTAATAAATGTATAGTCTTATACTTGGGTTACAAAATTCGACCTCACAAAGACCAGATGAGAGAATGTGTGGGTAGTTTGAAAAAGGAATTTTAGAGTGGCCAAGAAAATTCCTGTCTCTGGCTGTGTAAAAAGAGGCCTGACGTCCAGGACTAGGAAGGCGATAGGCCTCTGTAACGTATTCTGCCCTAGTTAGCCCATATCTGGATTATCAGATTCAGTTCTGGGTGACGTATTTGAGGAAGGACATTACTAGCCGGGATAGTGAAGGGCCAGAAAAGGACCAGCTGGAGGAATTGGGAATGTTGAGCCTGAAGAAAAGAAGGTTTAGGGCAGACATGATAGTTATCTTCAGATATTTGAAGAATCATCACATAGACTTATTCTGCTTGACCCCAGAGGGCAGAACTAGGCACATTATTTGAATATAACAGAACAGTTTTAAATGACTAAGGCTGTGCATCTGTCATCTTGGTACCATTCTATTTCTTTGTCAAGGGGCCCACTGGAGAGAGTGCTAAACCTGAAGTCAGGTAGACCTAAGTTCTCATCCTGCTTCAGGTACTTACTAGCTGGGCAAGTCACTTAACCTCTGTCTGCCTCAGTTTCCCCAATTGTAAAATGAGGATAATAATAGCGCTTACCTCATAGGGTGGTAAGGATCAAATGAGATATGATGTAATGTGCTGTTGCAAACCTTAAAGTACTACATAAATGCTTGCTATCATTATTATTACTCCTCCTCCTCCTTCTCTTACCATTGCCAGTAGCTTAAAAGCATAGCTTTGAACTAAAATTAACACCACATACTTAGGTAAATAGCTAAGTTGATGTGAATTAGTTTCAACTTATATTCTTTACAAATAACATCTGTGTCTTGACTAGTGAT